CGGGCGGTGTTTCGTTCTGCTGTGCATGGGGTCGCTATGAGTCGGAAACGACTCGACGGCACTTAACAACAACAACAACAACAATCTCTCTGACTATAGCCATCCTAGCATGAGTGAAGTGGTATCTCATTGTGATTGATTTGCATTTCTTAAAGGACTTATGATGTTTTGCATTTTTTCATGTGCTTGTTGGACATTTTATATCTTCTTTGGTCAAATGTCTATTCAAGTGCTTTGCTCATTTTTTTTTAATGTGTTTTTTATCTCTTTGTTACTAAGTTGTTGAAATGCTTTATATGTTCTGGAAATTAAACTTCTCTAATATTCCATTCCCCAGAATTTTTTCCCAATGTGTAGGTTGTCTGTTCCCTTTGTTTATAAAGTCCCTTGATGCACAAAAGTTTTTAATTTTGGTAAAGTCTAATTTATCTATTTGGTCTTTTGTTGCTTGTGCTTTTGGTATCATATGTAAGATTCTCCTGTCACAAATTAGATACTGAAGCATTGCTTCTATGTATTCTAAGAGTTTGATGGTTTTAGTTCTTACATTTAGATCTTTGATCTATTTAGAGTTAATGTTTGTGTATATGTGAGGTATGGGGCAAACTTCATTCTTCTGCGTGTGGAAATCCAGTTATCCCAGTACTGCTTATTAAAGAGAGTACTCTTTCTCCATTGAATGGACTTAGCACCCTTACTGAAAATCAGTTGACCATAGATGTATGTGTTCAACTTATTTTGATATACACATGGAAAACCTTAATCAAGATCAAAAGAGTGTGCTTGTTGAATTAGGCAGTACCATAGTCAAACCTTCAGTGTATAATTTAGAATACAGATAAAGCAACATTGATTAATTTGAGTAGATGAATCTGTGGAACTCTAGAAAAAGTAAATGTTTTAGGTAGGCCATATTAAGACACATTTAGTATGTTATCTTTAAATTGACTAAACTTTCCTGTGTTTGTTTACACAGGTCTTTGTCACCAGAACCTAGAAATTCTAACCCCAACAAGCAAAGACATTTTTACAGGCATTATGGCTGTGAATACGGGAATGATCCTGAAAGACCTATTGCTTGGAGAATGGACAATGAGAAATATGGGCAGAGTAAACCAAGAGTTGCTTCTCATGAAAATATGTATTACTGGTCTTGTGAAAATAGATCACCTTCCCAAAACATAAGAAGAAACTCTTCAGAAAATTCTTACAAGCCCCACCAAGTGTATTCACTAGGAAGAGGTGACGTTAATAAAAGATCTCAGTATATGCCAAAATACTCAGAAGGTGTACCGTACAATGAGCAGGAGAGGAATCATTATTCCCAGAAGGTGCAAGGAAGAAATTTTCACGATGACTCCACAGTTAAAGGAAGTGAAAAAAGAGGGAAACCACCTCAGAGATCAGTAGCAGATTCTTTTAGATTTGAAGGAAAGAGGGATGAAGATGAATTTAGGCACCAGTGGATACAAGAAGGAAAATACTCTCAGTCACCTAGAAGAGGCTCTGAAGACTTTGCAACAAGGAGCTCTTTTCAGAAAAGGTATAGGATAACATTAAACCTGGGTAATTTGGTGTAAAGCCCCAAGTGAAAAAGTTGTTTACTTTATGGTTGAAGATAGTTACCTTGAAAAGCTTTTGTCTAAAAAGATAAAAAGCATTGTGATTTGGTTATATTCTATTATTAGTAGTGAAGTGTTTATTTTTATAGTAAATCATGCTAATTGCTAACGTTTTTTAAAAAGTTCATATTCTTCTCTTTAACTATCTCATACCTCTATGAGTTTGCATGCAGGATTATAGGTTAACTTGCCACTGTATTTAAATCCATGCTGTCCAACATTCTATATGTACAAATTCTGACTTTCTTCTCTTTAGTGCAAGTATTAACTGTTTTATGTCAACACAGGTATCCTGAGGATCGTGATGTGAGAAACTATCAATATACACCAACAAGACCTAAAGATGGAGAGAAGTATGAGAACAGAGAGCTTGCCAAGCACCCACAGTGGAAGCCTGAGCCTTCTCTTCCACCTTCTCAAGAAAAGAAAGATCAGAGGAACTTTGGACCCCAAACTTATCCATATTCTGTAAGGGACCTCTCAGAAACCAATTCGGTAACCAAGATATCCTATTACTACCAGTACAAACATCATAAGCCCTCAGATTGGGATCAGGACTTTTCTGATGGAAGAACTCTAAAGTACTCTAAGGAAGAAGATAGAATACATAGTTCTCAAAAAGGCCCTGTAAATAGAGAGTCAGATTGTTTTAATACTGGAAGAGGGAGAGAGTCTAAAGATGGGCTAGTCAAAGAACCTTTTAAACAGATTAAGAAAGACTGCCTTGCTGGTACTTATTCAAATAGAACTGATGTTGATTTGAGACCCTTTAATGATGAATGGAAGGAAAAAATAAAGAAAGAAGAGGATTTCAGAAGAGAGAGCAACCCTTCCAGTTACCAACTTGATAATAGTAAAAAAGTTTCACATATGCAACCCTCATCTTTCTATGGTAGGGAGAAATCGCTTACAGTTAAAGTGCACGTGAAGAAACCAGTAGATACATTCAGGTATTATCTTAGTTTTTCCCTTATGATATTTAATAAATGTTTCTACCACCTTTATTTACAGTTTTAAAAATGGAATTAATAGTATGTTTAGAAGCCATTGAAGGGGAGGGATGGCCTGGATTTTTTCAAAAGGGCCCTGTAATACAGGAGAATTCTGTGATTTATAACATAGGGTGATATTATTATTTTTATCTATTTATTTATTTTACTGTGATTTGGGTGAAAATTTACAGAGCAAATTCATTTTTCATACAGCAGTTCACATACTCATGACATTGACTACAATTTACCACAATGCAACAAACAGCTTCCCTCCCACTACTTCCTGATACTTACCTCTTCCCTTTGTCCATCCATCCATGTACTCCTGCCCCCTGAGCTGTCTCCCTGTGTATAAACAGCCCTTCTTTCTCCCATGATTGTTCTCTCCAAGGAGTGTATCTACCTCAGGTAAATGT